TTCGAAACGAGAAACCACGTGAAAAGACCCTTCATAAAATTTGCTACGAAGGTCTGCGGACCGAATCGACCCGTATGAAAACATGTGAACAAGTGGATAATTCTCAAGGGAGAGCGAACTGTCGATGTTGTAATCGAGTTGACGCCGGAGGCAGTGCTCGCATAAACTCAGACAATCGTTGGACGTAGTCTGATATATTGAAGTTATCACCGCTCCGTGGTGTGAAAAAATTCCACAGGCAGACTCATTGTCATGCCGTTAACTAATTCAGCGGCGGAACATTGAACACCTGACTTTAAGCTCGCTCTGATACCTAAGAGGACCGGCGGTAAGGTTTCGTACCAATTGTTGTTTTCGTGAACTCGAAGAGCACTTTTAAGTTGGCGATGAAACCGCTGGACTAAACCATTCGACGCTGGGTGGTAGGCGGTAGTACGTATGCACCCCGTACAAAGCAGCCGGGCTAGCGAGGAGAATAGTTCGGACTCGAATTGTTGTCCTCGGTCAATTGTGACGGTCGAGGGACAACCGTGCTATCCATCGTTCTAAGAAGCGGTGAACAACTGTTTCCGCTGTAATAGAAGTGATGATAATAGCTTCGATCCATCTTGTGAAACGATCAATTCACGCGAGTATGTGATCATACCCATGCGACGGTGGCAATGGTCCAACAATGTAATATGAAGATGATCGAAGCGAGCATCAGGCGTAGCAAATGTGCCGATAGGGGCGGCTACGTGCCAGTGCATTTTTGATCGTTGACATTGTAGATGAATTTTCTACCGTAGCAGTTCAATTTGATTCCAATAGGTGTAGGTCGAATGCACCCTCCCTTAGTCGAATATCAAAACACAATAATTCTAGGAGAAAGTGGTCTATTCATATAAAAGAAATGGAAATACAAACATTTACCTGACAATTAATACACCTTCCAAGTCGAAATTACCCTGATGAGTATCCAAATACAAAAGAATAAGTGATATTAGTATTAACTGCCTCGGTATCAAATCCAAATATGGCTGTAGCCATATTAAAATATAAAATTTAAACAACATGTGTGCTGTTCAGAAGCAAACATAAAAACTTCAATATAAGTACAAAATATAGAAATAATAACAATATACAATGATAAAATCTCAAAATGGAATCAAATAGAGTACCAAAATGTCAACAGAAGGAGTCAGTCATATCATAACACAAATATATATATATATACATATATATATATATATTTGGAGGGATTTTCTAAAAAAAACAAAACATTCAAAAAAGATTCTGCAGACATTGTAAGCATTGCTATACCCACATACGGACATCTTCATTCATGGACGGCCAGGCGTATCGTTCAGCTATTGGACGTAATGTTGCTGCGATACCTCGATGAGACAATCCATAAAGGACATCGAAGAAGAGACGACGATGAGCAGAGGATACGATGGGTCGGGTTAGACAAGTAGAGGTGATACACAGGATAGTACCTGAGGTGGTAGCTAGTGGTACTTTCTGGCACTGAAGGGGTGTAGATCATTGTGCTTCTGTACAGGTGAGATAATTCGCTTGGGCAGCGGGCATAGCTGGAAGATCAAGCACCGGTAAGGTAACTGCACTCACCTGAATACGTGGCAGAGCATCGGCAACATAGTTCGACTCTCCTTTAATGTGACGAAAGGTCTGTCGTGAACTGAGAGATGTAGTCCAAATGTCTGCACTCTCGTGGTGGGTAACGGTCGGACTTGGTATGCAGAGCATACGTTAGAGGCTTATGGTCGGTGAAAAGGATAAAATCACGACCTTCTACTTAGTGCCGTAAATGTTTGGTGGCACAGTAGGCTGCTAGTGGTTCGCGCACAAAAGCGCTATATCTCATCTCCGTGGGAGTGAAGCGTCGTCAGAAAACTTCGGGGGGTTGCCAACTTCCAGAGATGTTCTGTCTCATAACGGCTCCTATAGCTAAATCAGATGCATCAACCGCTATACTAATCGTAGCTGATGGCTCAGGATGGACCATAAGTTAACCAAACCGAGGGAAGCCTTCAGTTCTTTGACTGAAGAAGGTACACAGTGCGCCATGATTGTGCGTACTTTATCTTCACAAGGTAGAATACCCTAATGCCTAATGATGTGACCCAAGAATTTTATCTATGCTTTGTCCAGTACACACTTTTCTGGGTTGGAATAAAAGTGTAAGATGTTGATAATGTTCATCCACATTGGATGATGCGATTAGCAGATCATCAATATAGACGTGAACGAAATCGAAGTCTTGTACTATGCTATCGATAAAACTTTTGAAAGTTTGAGCTGCATTCCGCAATACCAATCGCATTCGTAAGAACTCAAACAGACTGAAAAGAGTTGTGAAAGCAATTTTCTCGATATCTTCAAGAGCGACTGCGATCTGATGATACGCTCGTACCAGATCAATCTTAGAATAGATTGTCGTGCCCTTAGGAAATGCCATGATGTCGTGTATGTGGGGGATGGTATAGCTATCGAAACGTGTTACTACAGTTGATGCTCGGTAGTCGCCACATGGTCGTCAAATTATTCTTGAGTGGTTTGGTTAGCTAGGCGAAATTTTCGAGTAAAGCATTGAAAATGTCATCACGCGAATGAAATACCCCTCTAGCTCGGTACGCACCTGTTTGAGCTCGAAAGCCCATAATTTAATTATTCGACGAAGTATCAATTAGCTGCAACCTACGTGAATCGACTGGTGATTCATTGTGCTGTAGGAAATTGATACCGAGTATGGCTGTGGGAACATCAACAATGATGAGCGTCCACAGATACTGTCGTCGGTAACTCAGGTCGACCGTCAGCTGTCGTGTACCATAGGTAGGAATGACGGTCATTATCAGCGCATAGACAAAGCATCATAGGTTGAGACTTGCTGCTACCAAGTGGTACAACCGAAACTTGAACACCTATGTCAACGAGGTACCTAGCGTTAGTGCGGATATCGTTCACGCAAAATAGGCGGCCAGCCTGTGGTGAGGGGCCGGCGAGTAAGGCCGCGGTTACTCGTCGGTTTTGAAGTTGCCCGCCCTGTATGAGCAGGGGGCTCGAAATGACGGGCGCCAGACTTAAAATTCTGGTTGAACCAGCACCAACTCCCATCAGAAGCCGCATTATGGCGTGGCTCGGAAGGTGAACACTGGGGGCGAGTACTTGCAGCCTTTCGGGATCGCGAGCGGGCTGGCTGGACGTGGGTTTCGGGTACAGCGTAACGATCTCGGAAATTTAGACGGCTATGAATACAACAACCCCTATCGATCTGAGCCTTAACGTGACTGGTATCAAGGTCGACGTTGGTATGCGACGTGGACGCAACGATATATTTGTCTCGGTTGCCAGTCCACGCGATAACTATGTCTGCCACGAGTGCAGCCTGGGTAAGCTGTATGTCCTCTGGCAGAACGGCGATCGAAGGCTGAACATGAGCTGGTAGTGATTCTAGCAACAATTCTCTGACGATGTCAGAGTCAGATGCCGTTGGTCCTGCTAATGATTACAGGCGCGTGAGATGGTGGCTAGGTTTAGCATCACCCAGGGGGTGATGTGCTAAGTGTCCTCGGTCGTTCCTCCCTGGATCGGAGGAAATGTCGAAGAATCGCCTGCTTGAGACGATCGTAGACGTCCGGTATACCAGAGTTAAGGACGACCTCACGAACAGCGGCTATATTTCCCTCGGTAGAGATTCCAGGGCGTAGGCACACATATGTCGCGGGTTCGTAACGCTGGGGATCTCAAATTGAGCTTCCAGTGCCGCGAACTAGACCTCTGGATCATTGGGGATAAGGACTACAGGTAGAAAACTTAGAACCTGTATCTGTGAGTCGGCTAAAATATCGTAAATTTTAGGTTTGTCTACCATTTTCAAATGCTGTTGTAGTTGAAATATATATATATATGAAAATATCAATATATATTCAACAACAGTTAAAATAGTAAGAAAATGGGATAGAAAAATGACATACTCACTGTAATTACTACGTATTCGAATTTGTGGCTCACCAGTATAGCGTTCCGTACGATATACTTCTTCTCGGGAGAACAGATGTTACTCCCGGACTCTAAGAATCACGAAGGGAACAGATTCTAGAGCAAGAAGTATATTTGATACTGGCCTCTTGATATCGAAATAATATAGAGGCAAGAGAGCGTACAGAAAGCTAACAACCACGAAGGAGACGTACGAAGAGTAGAATGGGAATAACACGCTTGGGGCGCGAGAGATAGTCTTTAGCAGAGATAAACAAGACGTGTACAATCTGACAATTATTGTCAGAATTAAGTACAATAATAAATGTTTATATATATCAGTAGTTGTGTTTTCTTCGTAAAAGTGAACCACTACAACCTCGAATTCCACATTTTTCAGAACAGTACCGTAACGTACACTTAATTGCCATACGAAAAAACAACTACACTGAAGAGCTTGAGATCAGATCGTTTTGAAGATCATGCCTTTACATGCAGTATTCATCAACTGAGTGAAGGTTTGACATCGGCGTTACCGTTTGAGCTAATCCACAGCCGTGATTGGTTTTGATCATGTGGTGGACTAAACGTATAATAGTAGTTGAAATGGTTAAAATATACCGAAATATAAATACGCATGCAGTAATACGGAGCGTTGCTGAGGTTGCTAGGATGAAGTTCTCACTAATTCAGGTCTGGTAGTCCACAATTATAAGAAGTAGACAATAATGCCGAACGATATACCTGATTTATACCAAGAATTTTTAAGTGATTATATAAATTTAATCTGTTAGTACGAATGAAAATTTTATTAGCAATGTCAGATATGCGGGAGTTTTGTGTTTGTGAGCACTCATTAGTACGGCTTACGAGCAGAGAACGAAACGGTGGGGTAAGATCAAAAACAATTTTGGAGTAAGTGTCAGTGACTCTTCAAATAAAGTGAGATTATAAAGAATGTGAATAATGACGAAAAACATTCAGATAATAAGTTTGTTTGAACCATCTACATAACCAATGCATCCAGAGGACACATGACATTCAAACTTTCAACTTTAACTGAGTACGTACCTCTGTGCACACACTGAAGGTTAGTTTGGGATATGACTGTTCTAATATGATACAGTTAATTATATTTTTTCTTTTACCGAAATATTGTGTTTGAACACGGTGGTATAAATGACCTGCAGTGCATAATCACATAAGTATGTGCAATTTCTGTGGAGTATAGTGAAACTGATAGTGCTTCTATTGCTTTGGCATGCTTATTCTATGAAATTCATCTTGTATTATGTTTGTGATTTGAATAACCAAGAAAGGATTTACTCAAGTTGTTATAAAGTAACCAGCCATGAGCTATACAAATATAACATTTTATTCGTACGATTGTTCATTTTTTGTCGATGTAATCACTGTCAGTACATAGTGGTTTATTTTCTGTTATGAGAGTATATTCAGTAATGAAGGACTGGCACGTAGTCTTTTAGTAGGCGAATAAACTTTCTATGATATTAGGAACTTGTGTTTTTTGCTTATGTCTAACTAAACAACTATCCCTGTTAGTTCCGCTCTTATTCAACTTTTGTAATACCCTTTTGTGTAGGACTTTTTGACAGCCTTGTTGAAGTTATCGACGGCTTTATCTGGCTATATAGGCTACATCAATTTTCCTGTGTCACTGATATGTTTATTACGGAGTGGTCTGTTTTATTACCAGATTACCTCCCGATGAGTTTCGATTTTCCGCCCAGATAGTCGAATAAATCTGCTGATAGCATCCTCTAAGGGCTCGAATTCGGCCTCATTTACGTTTACAAAACGATAATCTTGAGAACCTTACCGAGAGAACCTATCACAGCTCTTTCCTTGAAATATACGAATTTCTCGAGCCATCCCGAGTGTATTTTGACTGGTCTCCTGGGTTTTTCTTTTAGGAGACCACAGACAAGTTTTCATATGACTAGTGTGTTCAGATTTCAAGTAGAATAATTTTATTCGCTTCAAGAAAGGTGTGTTTACTAACCGTACCTTGGTAAAATCAGTGTTTTCGGTTTCATTGTCCACCAGTAATGATATATGGTCACCATTTTATCGGGACTAGTATGGCATCTACGCGTTCTGCGTTCTAAAATACCATATCGTTGATTTCAGTTCTTTTGTCGCTGGTATGTTTTGCTTCTTACTTTCTGTTGGCTCTCCCTGTATTCAAGATACACTTTTTTCTAATTTTCCGAGTAATTTAAGTTCCTCGTCTATGAACATGGCTTCTTTTCTAAGAAACGGAGATTTTTCTTCACCTTCGTTGGATTACCTAGATTAATATCTCAATCCAAATTTTTTTCTACCACTTTGCTGTTTCTATTTTATCAGAATTTAATCACGTTCGTTCACGTATTTACTGATAGCTACTATGCATGTCCGCTTCACTATCGCTTTCCGTATGGACCAAACCATTAACATCTAACACTTTCTCGCCAAGGTGTCTTGTTTTTCGAAAATCAGAGATTTGTGGCTGCTTCTTACTATTGAGCCGTAAAAACTACTCATTCTACAGTTGGACCTCATTAATAAGGAATACAAATTTTGTTTTACGCAATCCAGCTCAAAGTATGTCTTCAGTGTGTGATACTCCCAAGTTTCAAACCGATGTTATACCGAAGGCTCAAGAGTTCTACCGCCGACCGTTACCTCGTCATTGCATTCCTTTTAGTTCTACTGAAGGAAAGCAAATATTTCGCGAGGCTTTGTTATCTGGACAAATGGAAACCTACTTCTCCTTGGCTTCTCAATTTTGCACACAAGTAAGATAAACCTAATTGTACATTTTTTCAAATCTAACATTGGATTGTTTTGTGAAATGTTTCGAAAACCCGCTGATTACGCAATCAACATACATCTGACGTATAAACGACGTTTGTAATGAAGTGGATCTTAACCCATCATGAAAATAATAGTTATGTTTCATATTTGCGTCCTTATACTATAAACATTCAAATAGTATAAGATCAAACAGAAACAACAGTATTTTCATAATCTTATATAGCTCAAGGATAATTTGCTGTCAGCTTAAAGGTTGATTATATTGCAGACGATCATTTCTGTCACCATGGTTGTTGTAATCTCTCTCGTGCTTTCTGAGAGTATAATACATTTTTAAGATTCTAGCTGTCTTCTTAATAAGTTTGCTTGGTCCATCTGTAGTGAAGGAGAACACAGGTGAAGGCAACCGAATTGTATTTATCGCAAATTACAGAGTTAATTGGTAAAATACGAAAACCATATCGTAAACCGTTAATTTGCAAAACATCAGTACATCATCAATCCATTGTCTGACATTTCACTGTTCATGCGTTTCGTACAAATTCCATTGTGTTCCCACTCTTCCTTTCTTGATCTTCCCCCATCTTCTGCTGCCAGACATTACATTTTCACTCGCGTCATATACTACTTATAAGTAGCGCGCACCACACATCAACTTACAGAATGGTTTTGGTATTTATATTGACTGCAAAATAAAAATAAATAGTATTTTTAGAACCGTCATGTGACCATTTTTCTGGAACAGGAAGGTATCCGATTGTGTGGGTCACGAAGCCACAAACGGAAATCAACGTTGTTCTTCATTTGTTGTAAACGCGTGGACACGAAAATTAACCACTCACTGGTAATCAATGTCATGATAATATCTTATCAATCAATTTACACCAGCACAGATACAAAAAACTCGATTGACTTTTGCCAACCTCCGTCACTTATGGCGCAGGCGAGATATCCGTTTGCTGAATAAAGGACGAGCGTACTGCGCAGTAGTTCGCTCAGTCTTACTTTATAGCTGTGAAACATGGCCAGTGAGAGTAGAAGATATTCGTAGGTTACTGGTTTTCGATCATAGGTGTCTTCGAAGCATTGCTCGTATATCCTGGGCCAACCGAGTGAGCAATGCTGTTATTAGGAAACGGGTGCTAGGTAAGGATAGCAGATCAATAGGTGAAATATTGAAACTTCATCAGTTGAGGTGGTTGGGACATGTGTTGCGTATGCCAACCACAGACTGCCTCGTCGAGCTTTGTTTTGTGGTGTAGGAGTAGGCTGGAAGAAAGTTAGGGGCGGCCAAACCAAAACATGGCAGAAATCCATGAAGCCACTGACAAGTGGACTGAGCCATGTCGGTAGTTGTCGACTACCTGGTTGGGGTCCGCGAGATGATAATAATCGATGGTTAGAGACCCTGTATGACATGTCTCAAAACCGTTTGCAATGGCGCCGGTGCATTTATTCCTTGTGTTCTCTCGAATCCTAATCTTCTGGATTCTTCAACCCCTCTAGTTTTGACTTTCTAAACTTATCTCACTGAATCATACTTCTTGAATAATATCTTGTAATCCTAACCTCTCCGATTACTGATAATACCTTTACTACCTCTTCTACTATTGGACTTGAATTGACAGTTATATCTCTGTGATGATGTGGTATGGCAACATGAACTGATGTACTCACGTACGATGTTCTACGTTGCATCTGACTGACTGAATGACTATCTACCACGAGTCTGCATATCCTTACGTTGCTCCACTGCCTTGTAGACAAGATTTTTAGTCAAAGGCTCAGAGCGTGACCCCCTAAGAAAACTACCTGTTTCCGTTTGGGCACCGGGCATTATATCAGTCCACTTTCAAACAATAATTTGAGTAGTGCGCGAATATCTAGGTGCTTCTTTGTACCAATGAACTTGTGTAATTGAGTAAACATTATACCCACCTCCCTCATGAAACGATATGGGTTACTTCTTTGATAACACTTGAAACTATAATACTTTTGATTTGGTTCCTATGTTCAGTTTTTTTTGAAATAACGATTCTCTTCCGTTTTTAGACTGTTAAACACTCCTGTGTCGATACCTGTTTCTCCAGGAGTCGTAACTTTTTTTCTGAACAACTACCACATGATTATATATTTTTTTCGTATTCTATAACCTTGTATTCTTTGACCCCATTCTACTGGTCTCAAAATAAAAACAGCTTGGACAGAAACGTAAATATACTTTGAAGTAAAGCGCAGAGTTAATCGGTTATATATTGAATCAAATGATAATATGTGAGTGGATTAATTGTCATCATTACTGAAGTAATTAATACAGCGAACTTAACTTAAATAATATAATGAACTTCATACTGAACAACAGTTAATGAACAAAACTTGCCATAAGTCAGTTTGTACATTCTTAAATCAATTCCTTCATAAATTTAGCATTTAGAGATGCCATATCCTCAACACAATCTGTAGAGATATGAGCAGCCAAATCGTTTTTGTGTTGTAAAGGCGAACGTTAATACTCATAAACTTGTTTAATTGGTGGCATATTGGAACTGTTTAGCCATGTATTATACACTTGGTTGGATGTTCACAACTCACAAATGTGCACATTTTAGGTATGAAATTTGAGAGCATCCCGTAAATACTGACTAGTGGTCCGACTGAATTCCAATCTCCAGTAGCTTCAAGATACTTCATTGGATTTGCTTTATCATAGCTTAGGGATTGCTAACTTATTCATTAGTCAGTCATTTATAACGTAGAACTCGGTACGTATATACATCAGTTATGAGGTTGCCACTTCCCGGCTGCCCATACCGTGGAAGGTTGTTTCTTGAGGGACCTGAAAAGGAAGATAGATTGATGTTGGTCTTGGAGGCCTGAGAGCGTGACCACAGAGCCCAAGGGACAACTGCTTGAGGCCGGTCACGCACGGCCTTTTTATGAAAAGTTTTTTGAGTGTTAACTCCGCACTTGAAAGCCCTTAGTGGGCACCCTTACCGCCGGAGACGGAAATCCGTGAGGTAGGGTGAGGTGTGACATTTTTAGGGTCGACCTTTTCTAACCCTTCCTTCCTTGTAAGAAGGCAGCATCGCTACAGATGCTGGTTGTCCGAGGGAAACACCTTACTGCTGTCACACCCCTCTGCAGTCAGCAGAACGACTTCGCCCTCAGACCTTTGAGTAGCTGCTTTTAGTCTCATCGTTCTCCAATCGACCTGCCTGGCATGGTAGAACCTTCTGGAACATATGTTCCAGCCAGTATAGCTCGGCTGGGTCATCACGATAGGCAAGCCCGACCACCACGTCAAGGTAGCAGCTACGGTCGGGAACAATACATTCTCTCAACTGCGATTGCTTCAAAATGAGTAACCTGTAAATACTGCCCAGATTTCGATTCATACAGGAGTATTTTGATAAGTTCCATTTGTAACTACCTCAGATGAATGCAGTGTTTTCCACTCACTCATAGTAATTGACATTTTAACAATGGATTTATGTCCTTGTCGCTTTAAGCGTTCGTTTTAGGTGCTAGCTTAATATACGATACTTTAATTCGTATTCATAACAATACATTAAGCATGTTAGGTATGTGTGAAACAACACACTTTTTGTAGACACTAAGTTTGCACCATTCAAACGTCTAGATTAATCGGTCTTCATGATTTATTGAATGGAATAATTCCATAAGTTTGTAGTTTATTTCTAAAACGAAGTGAGAAAATATCTTGTTTATAGTAAAATGGAGAAGAAGCTATGAGTTAGATTATTGGAAAAAAAAATATACCACTTGATCGTGTGTGTGTGTGTTTTTTAAGCAGATTATAAAAATGCTTGTTGACTATGATGAAAGCGATCATTTGTTTGCAAAAATATATATACAGAATTTTACATTTTTCATCCTTATTTCTTTCTTTTTCATCTTACTATTAATAGGAAGAACCTTCTTACTGTGGATTAGCCAGTTTAGTCATGGTTCTAAATGCTTTAGGATTAGATCCTGGGCGTGTATGGAAAGGACCATGGCGTTGGTATCATGAAAGTATGCTAACGTGTTGTTTACCGCAGGATGTATTGACTAAAGGAATTACACTAGATGATTTTGTCAAAATTGCTCGTTGTTACGGTTTAGATGTAAGTAAATTTTTATGTAGTCTAGCTTCGTATACTTTTTTTATCTGCTTAAAATGAATGTACCAAAATTTTTTTTAGATTTACTGGTTGTCGTAAAAGGCGCCGAACTATTTAAGCATTATAATTAAGCAAATGAAATATCGTGTGTTTCACTATTGAAACTTTAAAGATAATCATTTGTAATATTTGTTAGAAAGTAGTAGCAAAGCTAAGCAAATGTCAGTAGTTTAACTTTTTTGAAAATCTCCAACTAGTCAGTCCATAGACCTCTAGCATAAGGATATCTTTGAAACTATTTTCCATAAATGGTTTCACCAGAGTCGTGTTCAACATATCTAAAGAAGTAGTGATGTGCACCTCCAACAATTGTTTTAATTGAAGTGTGTATATCGATGAAACTCATGTTCATTAAGCTTATGTGAAACAAATGGTAATTGAACACTTGAATTGATGATATTAAATCAACATCTGTATCAGTTGAAGCACCCGGGCATTAACCCAGTTCACTTATAAACCCGGTAAATTGTGCGGCCCATAAATATTTAACTCCTCCTTTGTACTAATGTTTGTATGTTCAAATAAAAAGCTAAGTCAATGCATATTAAACATAAAACTCAGCATAATTATATTACGGAACTTATAATCAGTTGGATCAAAGATTATCAAGTGTGATAGACCAGTTTCTTTATGTTACCGGTGATTGAGATAAATTTCAGGGGAAATTTCCCGATTCCCTCCAATAAATCATGATCAATAATTCGATTGTATAAATATCAACTGACTTTTGTGTTATAGTATGGATGTGTTATCTGCTATAGAAGAGCGTAATAGCAGTAAGGTGTTTGTCTCTGGCAGTCAGCAATTTCAGTGCTGCTCTCTTCACAACGAAAAGAAAAGGTTTAAATAATCATACCTCACCTCACTCCGTCTCCAATGGTAAGGCATTTTGAAGAGCGGAGCTGAAACATCAAAAACTGGCCTCAAGCAGTTGCCCTTTGGGCTCTGCGGTCACGCTTCCAGGTCACTAAGGCCAACATTAACCCAGATTCCTTTTCCAGTCCCCCAAGAAGAAATATCCTTTCGCGGTTGGGGCAGCTGGGAAGTGACAACCACCAACATGCATCTAACCGCACCCAAGATCATTTTATTAATTACCAGCTGATTTCAAAACCGAATAGTTGAACAAACTGTAACTAACTTGTACACGTTTTACTATGGTGCGACAAGCTCCAATAAACCAGTAAATACAAAAAATTAATCCCTATCATGTTATTACTACTGTATATTACTGGACTAAATGATACTTATTTCTACCTTCAAATCAAGTCTTCCTGGTGTTGGTCGATTTTCTCCGTGTATTAGAAAAGATTTTATGTATTTGGAGTCGTACTGTCTAAATCCTACTACTTTTTATTCTTGTAATTAGGTGGACCTACATCGCGTTACTCCTGATACTCCACTATCTTATTTTCGAGATCTGCTTATCAAAGTGACTTCAGGAGCACATGAAGGTTTTCTTGTTGTTTGCTATAGCCGCAGCGCTTTAGGCCAGACTGGTTCAGGTCATTTCGCTCCAGTAGGTGGTTATCATCCTGATAGAGAACTTGTCTTTTTATTTGATACAGCTCGTTTCAAATATCCACCTCATTGGGTTTCTCTAACAAAACTTTGGTTTAGCATGAACCAAGTGGATCCTGCCACACAACTACCTCGAGGTTTTGTTGTCCTTCGGAAGGCCGCAATTCCAGTCTCTACAGAACAGTTGGTTAAAGCGCAAAAGGAGCTTCGTCTAAGTTTTAGCAAAGATATAAATAGTGATCAACACGATCAGTTAATTGATGGATCGGGTTTGCATTTATTTGGAATTTCTGACTGTGCTTACCAAGTACGTTTAGTTGCCTTAAGTTATCTTTTTGTGAACATGTAATGTCTATTCTTAGTTCGTTGAATGGCAGACATAAATCAAATGACTAAATTAGCTTTCATCTTTTCCAAGTATGTTACTAGACTTAATACAGTTTTGCCTTTGAGTTTTGTACGATAAATACAGTTCCAAGTAACTGATACACAGAAATGTTTTGGTTTAGGATCTGACAAATAAACAGACTCATAATCGGTAGATCAATCTTCATGATGCAGTATGGTCTAGTGATAATTGGTCACGAAATCGAGTCATTTAAATAAGCCGACAATATGTCAGAATTGGTTTCTTTTCTACGGTAAAATTAACATGCTGATGTACAATATATTAGCTACTAAAAGCAAACTTGAAAGTCATTCGAAGCCTTAGTGATTCGTAAATATGAACTTTGTAGGTCACTCAAGAGTCAATGCAATTAAGGTCTTATCTATCGATATCAGTATGAATTCCTGTTTTTCCGTCTGACAGCGGCAATAAATCACCTGCAGGCGTAGAAGTAATTATGGAAATTAGAAGGCTTAGTCGAAAGAACTGAAGTACATATTCCAGTGAAGAGACTTTTCTTTTAAGCGATTTCATTATTAAAAGCTGTACATTAGTATTTATATCGAATTATTAATGTAATGGACAAGTTTTGTTGGTATACACCTGTGTGTGTATGCCAAGTGTCAATCATCATGTTGTTCGTAATATCAAGTAAATTATGTTGTTCCCTGTGAAAATTAACGCTTTTATGCTTCTTCCTAACAAATTTGATAGTTGCAAAGATTAATAATTTATTCATTATGTAATATAAAGCATACTCTACATGCAAAACAAAGAATTCTCGAAAGAAATACATTTGGCGAACAACTTTAGTTCAAACATTTCTTTATTCATGCAATTACTAAGAAGGTATGTAAACAAAAATGCTAATATATGCATACATATTTCTGCTTTATTTCCTTTTCCAAAGGCTTATTCATCACCATCTGCTTTGCGTGATCCAAATTCTACTGGTTACAAATTAAAATCACTCATAGATCGATGGGTGAATTGGTTAAGGTGTGATATAGAAACGTGCACCGACCAGCTTCCAACACAATTTTGGTATGAAGCTTTAACATTCCTATTTGATGAAATCGATCGATTAAGGCCAACTAGTTTCTATTTTGTGATTCATCCTTTTACAGCCTTATCAGATAATCAATTAAACACTAGTAGTCAGTTTTTAAACTTTTCTACGCATGATATATTACGTGATCTTGTTGGATCATCATTAGGTCATATTGTAACTGATTTCATGTTAAAAATGAACAAAGACTATTTGACATGGTTAACTTCTGATGGTGGTACTTTTCGTTTGTCTATTTCAACGTTAAATTCATGGACTAAACCAATGGATGATTGTCCTTTTACAGTCTTATCTGATCCTGGACTAAGATTTTGTTTATTGACAACTAGTTTTCTATTAGCTTTCCCTTATGATAATTTTTCTTCGAATCATTCACTATTCGATAATAATTCAGTCCCATCATCTTTATCTTCATCCAATTGTGTATCACGCCTTCAGATAATGAAAAAATTAACCGAAGATATCAAACTATTACCTACAACTCTTACTGAATTACATTCTCTACGAAATACATTACAATCTTTAATGAATACAAACAGAAATCTCTTGTGTACAACTTGTAAAGATCAGAAATGATAAGTGTGGTTTAATCGTTTGTTTATTCAATAACACACTTGATTGATATTAGAACTTTTTTTAAATCTAGATATATATATATTTTCTTTTCTTTTGTAACCAAGATTTCTGATAAATCTAATGTTTATTTCCATATTGGTTACATTGGTGCATTCATCACTTCGTTGTTATCAATTAGGCAATTTTTTTCTGTTTCTTACTCCATTTCTTTCCTAATATATATATATATATATAATTGTGTGAAATGATGCATCAGTGTTGCAGTTCAAGTGGATGCTTTCATTGTTGTTCTAGACAATCGATATCGGCGCCTACTGAAATATAATGCCAACACTCAATAACATATTTTTTATCAATTACAAATTTATCTGTTTATTTTTATTAGATTGGGAACGAAAAAATTATTTTTCTTTTTTTTCTAAATAAAAACAATTTTGACTTTTATTGGTTTACTCGATTGATCTGTGTACAAATTTAAAACCTATATGCTTACTTATTGTCTTTTTGCTCAGGGTATCTTTATCAGAATTAATTTTCTGTTGTATTAAGATTCAATAAAAAATAAATATTTTAAAGGATCAAATAGTGTGTTTTTTATTGAGTATTTTTGTTTACTGACTGACTGACTAAGACATCATGAGACCTTTGTACAATAATGCATCCATTCAAGTTGACATACTACAAAATCACAGCAAAATATAGACTTATGAATTAGAATATGAAATGAGTAGTTCTTCGATATTGGATTGTTTAATATGAGTTTACCAGTTGTTTAAGCCACTAAAAAGTAGATTGTACCATCATATCGCTAAATACGGTGATACAACTGAGGTTTAAACAGTCATCTCACCTCTTGTGATTCCTTATAAGGTGGTAGGTAGGAATGAAAGGTTGATACGGTTGAGTATAGAAATTCAGACGGCTTATACTAAATCCAATCAATTATGCACTGATTTTATTTAAACTCAAACACTGCAGCAAAGAAGAACCTAGATATTTATGCGCCACACAAAGTATGGAGTTTGTGAGTGTACTGAGATATTGCCTGAACCGAAGTTGGCGGTCTTCTTAGGAGGCCAAGCCCTGAGCCTTTGACCCAAAAACCTAATCTACGAGGCAGTGGAGTATTATAAGGAGACGCACTCTCATGGTAACCAGTGACCAACGATAGGTTCACACTTCATGTTTCCTCAAGATCCTAGAGCCCACGTGCTCCATTGATGTGGAATCAGGGATTTCCAACTACCCTAGATGGATCACCTATACTCACCAACCCGGTTAGAGCACCAGACATTCGCTTTTCGTCTTCTTAATTCCGTGAATACCTGGGCCACGGGAAGTCACTGACCACGACTATACATGCGTAGCCATATGAGTGCATTTGGAGAGGGAGAGCAAACTGTCCCCATTTTTGGCCACACGAGGGCATGCTCCATAACTGCTTTGAATTGGATAGGCTATTTATCATAACAGGCAGCTTATCAGACAGATCATTGCTGATGCTTAATCACTGTATTTTATTTTTGTTTATCTTATTAAATGGACTTATTCTGATATACTAACTTTTTTTTATATGAACCCCTTGTTTCTAAAGTTATTATTGTCGAAATTTAAGAAATGCGCTGGCAAATACCTTAACCTAGTTACGATTTTAACTACTATAATTATCCCTACGAATTTATATGATTATTGATACATAACTACCGTAAACCACCAAATAACTATCATTTCAAGTTTATTTAAAATATAAAAACTGTCTAATCTTTGGTGATTACTATGTAGCCCATTTGATTAGCTTTCGATTTCCTACTCACTCCTATCCTCTTATCTTTTAAGTAGTTATTCACATGTACATATTATATTGAGACAGATTTAGTGCATTTTCTTAGTTGTTTTCGTTTCTTAGAAATATAACATTAATTAGTTGAATAATAATGCATATTTATTTATTTATTTAATATATTCTGTCTGATTCATATCACATATATTTTCATTGTGTTGTTATGACCTTTAAATTTAAGTGCAATTTCTTAGACAACACAACATGACACAAATATTATTTATTTTATTATCAATACAATTTTACTAATTTAAACTAAATTATTTTTACTAGAAAACTATAAGATTTCTTAGCATATTATTGGTCATGTTTTCATTGATTATTTATTATAAATTAGACAAAATATTTTAAGTTAACCTATTATTATTTTTTTTAAATGGAAACTAGATGTTGTACGTCAATATGTAGGTTTATTTTGATATCATAAACATGGTTTAGTTCAAGTGATCATCCATATCGTAAAAGATCAAAATGGAAAGCTAAAATTATGTTAAAAGTAAGCGTGGCAGTTAGTCTGTATCAGAAATAGGCGAATATTTGAAATTGACTATTAAGTAAGCGATTTCTCTTCAGTCTTGTGAGTATAGAAAGATTTCAAGTAATGAGAAGCCATTGAAATCAACTCATTGTCATATGGTTAGATATTTCTATATAAAAATCTTAACAATCAGGTAGATTATTTATCCACTAATGACAATCTAAATAGTAATGTTGATAAAAAAGATGTTTGACTTAAGAAACTTAGTCAAGGATTGGGTATGAGAAGACTGTGTTTAAAAAGAGGAGGACAATAATTCAGAAAATGTTTTACCTAAAATATCTTTCATACCACTAAGTTAATCAACATTCACATTATTTATCAACGAATGTAAGCATACAGATAATCTTAAAAATAGCAATTCTTCAATCTGCTCATATTAACCGATGAGATAGTAACAAACTGACTGTGATGCGTACGTTGCAGATATTGCACGGTAGGGTACTTACAGCCTTTTATGACATTACCATTTCTTAATCGATCAACTGTAAATATCGGAGTCCTGTAGGAGGTAAGTTGAAACCCGAATAATCTATTGGTTACTTCTCAGATTATGAAGTTAGATGAGGTGGAGTCAAATCTGCCGAAGGTACCAGTACCTTTAATATTACAGGTACGCCTAGGTGACGAGACCTAAGTAACACGGAACCAACGATTAGAGTTTCCTTTCGACTAACCACCTTTCAGTACTTTTTAAGGTTACATAATGTGCGAAAAATTATTTCTGAAAGATTTCTAAACATAGCAGCATGACCATATTGAATTTCGGAATAAAATTAACTGTAACAGTGGTTATTATAATTAGCGACTAAGTCAATTCCATCTACATGCTTGGGAATTGATAACAGACTACTGTTGACTAAGTCAATCTTTTTTTGACCGAAATGATATCGAATCCTAAGCTAATCCTAAAATAATTGCATAAACTATCGAATTTATACGGACTTATGGAGTGCGCTGAGTGTCTGACTCTGGAAATCAAAATAATTCCAACTTGTGTTAGTTTGCTGGAGGTAGTCGGCAGAAAGCTCTAGCCATAGGTTTCGTGTTACTTGGGTCCCGTCACCTACACGTACGTGTAAAACTGAAGCTACTTCTACTCCCTGGTAGATTCGATTCCACCTCATCCAGTTTCATAATCTGAGAAGTTAACAATGAACTAATCGGGTTGCAATTTACTTCCCGTACGAATTGGTTATATATATATATGATGATGACTACTTGATTAATGATACCTTGAAACAGAATTTTAGTAGAATGTATAATATCAAAGAAAACAAATCTTATCATAGTTTGTTCCAGAAATGTGTAAAAATCAATTCAATCTATAGATAGCTTATTTGGCGGACTGGAAGAATTTAAACATGCCAGAAATGGAACAGTTATCCGCCAACGAAATGAGATGATGATTGTTTAATATGGCCAATTCTTTGAAACTAAAACCAATGGGTGTCAGTAGTATTCCAATAATAATGTGCTCATCGCGATGCATAGAGATCATAGTTTCAAGACCTGACTGAGTCGTAGGTACACCCTCCCGTGGAGTCACATATTATTGTTTCATGATTTTCATTGGTCATCCAGCTGGTGGGATTTCGTAATGTGAAACGCCTAAAATTCCTTGGGCGACAATCTATCACGGAATAAAAAGTCTTAGTTGGTCATACTTATTGAAGTTGGGATGCTGTCAATAAAGATAAATGTCATCAAACATGTAAACACTTTTCGTTCCCTCAAATTCTAACCTGAATTTCTCATCATCTCTATCTGTCTCTTAAATTTATTTCACTGAATCATACTTCTTGAATAATATCTCCGAACCCTAATCTTCTCCATTACCAGTAATACTTTTACTATCTCTACCACTATTTAGTTATATGATAGTGACCAGAACGCCTTATGACTTAACATTGCTTATGATGTCAAACAATCTACTCTTTGTTATTGTAAATGGTTGTTTCCAACTTTAACACAATAACTGATTACGAACGAAATAGCAATCTTTTCGATATCCAACTTGGAGAATTTGTGGTTGAGGAGCCTTTGGAAACTTATAGTCACTTCACAACTTCTTTCTCCTTTATTCAAAACTAGCTCCATTTAAAGCCAACTAGTTTCTTATTGAGTCGAACTTGAAATCCTCTGTGAATTTGACAACAAGGATTTTTAAGTTAATATGTTGATCTTATTAAGCCTCAATAATTCAGCGTAATAGTGCATCAATAACAATGTACTTTTGAAAATTATTTCTTAATTAGTTGACCTGTATACTTATTGTTCCACTGTATCGTTTTTTACGCATTAAGAGCCTATCGATATTTTGTTCATTTTACAAATCAGATCATGATCATAAAATGAATAGTTACCAACTATTTATACACATTTTCTTAGTATACACTTGATTCAAAATACAAACTGTTATACATATGTAGCAGTAGAAATTTTGTTTATTATGCTACCCAGTGTATTACAGTTTTTAAAATAGGATATAGATGCTATCAAATTCTAATGCTGATAATCAACTTGTCTTAATTTTACGCCTGCGTTAGTTGCTTTTATAGTTAAAAGTGCATCTTATGAGCTTACTGAGTCGTCAGGTCACTCGTTTACCTGTTCTTTTCTTTACCATGGTCTTTCTCACACACAGTCCCTCGCACTCTCCAAGTACAGGCTAAACGAAAGCCTACCAAAGGTTGAACATTACATGTATGTAAAGACAAACACGATAAAGTTTTGTAATGAAAATAAGAACGTGATTTATAGTTTTGCAATAATTATTGTTTGGATAGTTTGTTCCTTATCATAGAAATGAGTAAAATACCATCACAGAGCATAAATTCAATTGGACTATCTTCCGTTCAGGTCGGGTAGGTAAGCTATGTAGTAAAATGACTTCCATTAAAAATTATCAAGATTTTCTTCAACGAATGACATTCAATGGACGCGTGTAACACAGTATATGTATTTTTGTGGAATGATGACTGTAACCAAATAGGCTATTTTCACCTTTCAGCAAACAAGACCAGAAACCAAAACAGCTAAGTATATTTTCCCAGGAATAGTAAGGGGCGACAATATTTTACGAAGTACGTAACTTTCTGCTCCACTAACGAGAATTCGATTAGGATCTGCGTGTGAAGAAATA